GAGAGGTGAGACTTCTTTTCACAAGTGCGAGCCCTTGAGTAATATTCTAGGGCATAGTGAAAAGTTAACAGAACTGTTGCTACATGTTCTTTGGGCCTGTAATTCCCCAAAGAGTTACCTTGTCAAGTTTACTCAGATATTTTGAAGATTTTCTTTGCACAAGTATAAAAGCAATATGTTTTCATTACAGTTAAATCAAGTAACTAAAATGAAAATAAAAAACAATCCTACTCACCAGAAGCAACTGATGTTAACACCTCATTGTGTATCTTTCTGAAGTCTCCTATAAACATGTATTTATAATACATATTTAATAAAATTAGGGTTGTATCCACATGCTGTCTTATAAGGGACTTTTTCACTTAATATAATGTGAATCATGTTCTATGCTAATAAACATACTCCTATGATAAGATTTTTAATAGATATAAAGTTGGTGGCAGCATTCTAAATGTTTACCCAGACTTCTGGAATGATGAACTTTGCCTTCCATTCCAGAGACTTTTTTTTTTTTTTAATATAGCAGAAAAAAATATTTCCTCTGTGACTGAGAATAATGTCTGGACATCAGGGACATTCCATGGGACATGATAATTTCTGTTTTAATTTTTCTTTAGCCAAACTGTAGTAGCTGGGGGAAAGGGCTATATTACTTCTATGGCAGAGTTCCTGGCCACATTTATAAAATTCTAATTCCAGGTGAAGGGGCAGTAAAGTTTAGTGGTTTTTTTTCCTGAAAACCACACAGGAGAGGAACAAGGATGGATACCAGTGATTTGCAAACATCATTCCATATCCTGATCCAGAAGTCTTTGATGGTTGGGCAGTTCTAATTGGTCAGATCATGGCAGGTTTCTCATAGGCAGAGCCACTAAGATGTTTTCTGCTCTGGTCTTTATTTTGGGGCTTCTGGGAATAGAAGGTCTTGGTGCAAAGAACATGTTATCAGATATGGCACCTTTTTACACATAAGATTCTGAGCCAACAAGAGCATAAAACTGACAAGCTGTGTTAATTTTTGGATTTAATCCTGTGACTCTCTCTCTACACAAGCCTTCTGAATGTTTGCTTGATTGCAAGGGGAAAAAGGAGTGTTCTTTTTGTTCAGTCTCTACCTCTCACTGCTTGAATTTTCTCCCTCATCTCCACTTCATCCAATGGCTCTGTGTCTATATGATACCATTATTTTGTTTCCAAAGACCACTATGTATTTCATAGCAGGCATCGAGGGATTCCAGTTGGCATTAAGGGGTATGTAGAATCAAAGAGACCATCCGGCCCTATGCCTGGGTTTCAGGCTCAATCCCCAGTAGGGGCATGCAAGAGGCAGCTGGTCAATGATTCTCTCTCATCATTGATGCTTTTATCTCTCTCTTCCTCTCCCTGTCTCTCTGAAATCAATAAAAATATATTTAAATAAATAAATAGTTCTCTATCATCATTGATGTTTCTATCTCTCCTTTTCCCTTCCTCTTTGAAATCAATAAAGAAAAATATAAAGAGGGGGAAAAAGAATCAGAGACCACTTAGAAATATCTAATACTCACTGGCCATTTATTATATACTATTCAGTGTTTTAAATTTATAATTTCATTAATTCTTGGAAGAACCATGTAATTTGACTATTACAATTATCCTCCCTTTATAGAGGAGAAAATTGAGACTCAGAAAAGTTAGGTAACCTGCCAAATTTCACATACCTAGGCAGTTACAGAATCAGAATTCAAAGAAGATTCCAGAGCCATTTCTTCACCTACAAAGTTCTACTTTCTTTTTCAGTAACTTTAGAAGTCAGGGAACTGGAAGGAACAACAAAACAAACCTCTCATAAGGCCAAGAGAGTGGCTGACAAAATACATCTCATTCCTTCTCTATGTTTAATATCAATTTTTATACCTTGGCTAAAGAGTGCCTATTATGAAGCTATTTGGTCAAGGTTATCTTGCTGTTACCCCACCCCCATCACCAGATGATTTTTATTTATAGCTATGTTTAAATATAATATCATAGGCACACTCAGGCTCACTGCATAATGAATTTGTCTTCTGAGCAAAGATTCTTTTTCAAAGCACATTTGCTTTATTCACTCTGTGTGTGTGTGTGTGTGTGTTTGCCAAGAGTTTTTTTTAAAAATATGTTGTTCATTTTTAAGTTTGTTCAAAGTATTTCTCAGCTCTAGAATGAGAAAATCAGGCCAATTAGTCAAAACCAGATTAATCACGTTGAGTTTTAAGATCCATGAGGTCTTTGAGTTCTACAGAGTAAGAAAACATCTTAGATTTCTTCTGAAGACATTCTGATTTAGTTCTATATTGTTTATTATCATGGCTTTACTCTACTGTTTGAATGCTAATAAGAGCTTCCTAGAATTCATTGCTTAAGAAGTTAAGTCATGGCATCTAATTACTTCGCAGGCTGTTTTAAGTATATATAATTATAACTTCCCTCCATTTTGGGGTGGTAAGTGAGCCAAGTAATCTGCATCGAGAAAATAAATAATACCTATATTAATTGTTAGCTAGCAACAAGGAGCTCACAGCACCTTTGAAAAAACACACATTATAATCTTAGTACATAAAGAGTGCTCAATAATTCTTAATCGACCAAACTAATATCATCCTATCTTTCTAGATAAGAGCTCCAGCAAAGGGATAATATATAGACCCTGTCAAATTTCAGTCCTTCGAGATCAGTTGTGTGAGAGATTAAGACTTTGCACTTGGGAGTATGAAATTTTAAATCCTGATCAGTACCTTGGGCAAGTCCCTTCTCTGTTCTGAGTGCCTGTCTGCTTCTTGCCCTATGAGACAGGTACCAGTAAACCTGAAGAATAAGACAGCACAATGGACATGTCTTCATAATGGTGGGCACCAAGTGATGAGTTTTTTTCTTCATTCATTCTAAATGGTCTTAACTCTTACTCCTGTATTATTTGGGGATGCTAATTGCAAAACATGGTCAGACTTGAGTTAAAATAACTTTCCCCCAGACTAGTAAATTATGTATAATCTTTCGGGGTGTAGATGTAAGTTACTTTCTCCTAGGCCACACTATTGGGAGATTAAGAAGGGAAAGTAGAATTGCAATTTCCAGCCCAGTAAGGCCCAGCCAGTTGGCCCGGACAAGCAGGTTGTCTTGAACGGACAAGCAGGTTGTCTTGAACGAAGACTTTTCAAGTCCCTCATTGGCTGAGGGCCTCCTTCAGCTTGTTGGTCAGGATGATGCGCTTAGAACTGCAGTGAGCACTCCCCTCTAGGGTAGGGAGTCTAGAAGACAGGGGACCAGGTTCAACTTTTGCCTGGTGCTTTAAGGTTAAATGCAAAGGTTCTCTCGGATCCTGTGGACATCATAATCTCTCTTCTAACTATCCCCAGATCATTTTTTAAAAAATATATTTTATTGATTTTGTACAGAGAGGAAGGGAGAGAGAGAGCTAGAAACATCGATGAGAGTTTGATCAGCCGCCTCTTGCACACCCCCTACTGGGGATATGCCCGCAACCAAGGTACATGTCCTTGACCAGAATCGAACCTGGGACCCTGGAGTCTGCAGGCCGATGCTCTATCCACTGAGCCAAACCGGTCTCGGCTCCCCAGATCATTTAAAGAGTACTGTTGGGAGAATGAATACAAGCTCCACCAGGTCAGAATACTTTGTCTATTTGGAAGATCTCTCTCTCTCTTCCTCCCAGGCATGGGATCTAGCATATAGTTGGAGCTAAAATATTTTTGTGAATGCAGGGACATTGGAATGTGAAAACATATTACAAACCCCAAAGAGATTCACAGCCAGACTGACGTTTAATCCTAAAATATCCAAGCTTTTTTTTAAAGCGCGGATCATAGCGGTTTCTACCACCGCAGGTTCAGGACAGGTGCTTCCATCTCCTTCCAACCTTCCCTTTAGAAAGTAGCCCAAGGCGGGCAGGGATGTGTGTGTGATGTCTCTCATTCCCAGGAAAAACTGGAGTCAGAGGAAAGAGCACACTAGTGTCAGAAGGACAAAACGGGCGAGGCTGCGAGGGGTGTTTGGAAGCTAGGCGAGGTCGGGGGCCCTGAGAAAAACCCAAGTCAAAAACCCAAGCGTGGGCCCAGCTATCGTACCGGACCAGCCATCTAGGAGCAGGGAAAGGTGTGTGCCAGGAGAGTCAGATGCACTGCGCAGCCCTCCCCCGGGAGGTACACCCGCCTCCGCCTACGAGTGACCTAATTACAAGGTGCCAACCAGAGGTGGAGGTGGCCTCCTCCCAGGCTACCACTCAACGCTCGTTCCCTCTCACAAAGATGCGGGAATCCCAAGCAATTCCCGCGCTGCTGCACCGTGGAGGAGCGGTGGGGTCGCAATTCTCGTTTCCGATTTATTTGGTGGCAGAGGCCGGTGAAGATCCGAGGCGTGGCACCTTTCGGAAAAGGTCTCCGGCAGTTGCGAGGCCCCTCCCGCGGGGACTGCGCTGCGCCAGGCCCCCGCCCCGCTGCGTAGGACTTCGAGCCCCAGGATTAGCCCAGGTTCCCGCCGGGATCACAGCACCGGCCGGGGCTCGGCCCGCCCTTCCCCCTGGACCCCTCCCTCCGGAGGACCACGCCCTGTGCCCAAGGTGCCTGTTACTGGCGGGCTGTGCTGCGCCTGCGCGTTGGCCCCGGGCTCTCCCCCCTCTTCCGGTCTGGCGGCCGCCCAGGGCCGGCTCCGCAGTTGCGCAGCCCGCGCCGCGGCCCTCCCACCCCTCCGCGTCCCGCCGCCTCCTGACGCCCGGCGTGACGTCACCACGCCGGCGGCCGCCATTACAGAGAGCCGAGCTCGGGGGCTCTAGCTATTGAGGAAGACGAGCGGCCGGCGGCCGAGCACTGCGGGGAGAGCCAGCGGGCCGGAGCTAGCGCCGAGCAACCGCCAGTCACCACACCGACACCTCGGGACCCGGCGGCGGCGTGTGCGTGTGGCCCGTGTGCGGGCGGCGGCGGCGCGGGGGTAGCGCGGAGCGGCAGCCTGTTGGGGCGGGTGGCATCATGGACGAGAAGGTGTTCACCAAGGAGCTGGACCAGTGGATCGAGCAGCTGAACGAGTGCAAGCAGCTCTCCGAGCCCCAGGTCAAGAGCCTCTGCGAGAAGGTGAGCTCCGGCTCCGGCTGCGGGGGCCGCCGTGGGCCGAGCCCGCCGCGGAAGAGGTTGCCGTGGGGGGGGGGGTGCAACATGGCGGAGGCCGCCGGCCCGGGCCCCCGGCGCTTCCCAGGCCGGGGTCCGGCGCGGCCCGGCGGTGGTTCCCAGGCGACCCGGCGCCCCCTGCCTCTCGCGCCGAGATTGGCTGTCCTGCCACTGCCGCCTAAAATGGCGCCGTCCACCCCGCTCCGAGGCTTCGGAGCCTCCCGGCCTTGGCGTCAGACGGGTGCTGGGGGAGCGGGGGTCCGGGTGGGGGCGGTTTTGAGATGCGGGCCAAAGTCCTGGGGCTCTCCAGCGTGGAGAGAGCCCGAGACTCTATCGGGGGGCGGGAGGGCAGGAGGCTTTCCACTCGGGCTCAGGACTCAGCCTTCGCTCCAAAGCTGTCCGAGGGCCCCCTCCCCCCCAAAGACAGGCTTGTATGCCAGACCCCCAAGACCTATCTATCGAAAGGCCCCACTGCTTTAGTTCTATCCTAGGTGGATTGCGCTAAATTTTCCATTATTATTATTATTTTTTTTTGTAAAGTGTGTTTTTTAAGAATTTAAAAACAAACCTCTAACCTAGTTTCTACGAAGGTCATGGTGGTAGGTAGATCTAGGGAGGAATAGAAGTTGACTTTCATAGTTGGAAGAAATGGAGACTCTGGCGAATCATACAATATATGGGGTTTGGGGATTGGAAATCAAACGTCAGTTGAATTTATGATTTATATGCTGACTCAAAATGGGTAGTGTGAAATCTTTCTCTAAGCTTAACGTACTTGGCATTTTGTCATTTATTTATTTTTTTAAGTGAGCAACATAAACTAAGAGCAGCAGATTTTGTATCCTGGCTCTTAGGAAAGTTACTTGTTTGTATTTTTGTGGCTTTAAGTGGTAGTGTCCATAAGAGCTATCGATTGAGCGTTTCCTGTGTTGCGGACCTGTGCTTACAGATGCTGAAAACAGAATCTTGTAGTCCATTTAGTTACCCTTTTTTTTAAAGTGAACTTTGCAGCATTTTATTTTAATACAGAATTGTGAAATATTATCACTTTGTATTAGTGAAGAAAGTTATTACAGAGCAATTATGCTGACTTGTTTGTGGTTTGATGTGAAAATTAGGTTCATGAATTTGGCCTATATACCCCTAAAATAGGCTTCTAAAGAAATTATGCTATAAATAATTGCACTTTAAGTGAGTCAAATTCAGATTGATTTTTTCCAAGCCCAAACAAAATTCTCTAGTTAATGAGGTGGCACATCATCTATTGGAGCTGCATTGTAATGGTAGCTTCTTGATCCTTAATTCCCCCGCATAAAATGAGGATAGTGTTTATTTTAAAGATTTATAAATAAGCTTTTCAAAATTATGTATATTATCAGGTTTTAACTTGTAGGTACCATAAATGATTATTGTAATGACTTTGAATTTAGTACTTTATGTAAAGACTTAGTCAGCAGTTGGCTAGATGACTAGTCATTTGTGTAGAAAATGTTGGAAGAGAAGTAATGATGTAATTGGAAAATCATGGAATTGCAAAGTTAGACTTGGACACTAGTGGATAATTGTGACTGACCTTTGGGCAACCACTTCATTTGGTCCATATTCTTTTTTGAAACATCGATTTGTTGTTCCACTTATTTATGAATTCACTGGTTGATTCTCCTATGTGCCCTGAACCCACAGTGTATTGGGATTACGTTCTAACCAACTGAGCTACCTAACCAGGACCCATTTTCTTGTCTGTAGACTTGAAACATATTTAATTTGAGATTATACAATTCCATTTTATTTATTTATTTATTTATTTAATTAAATATATTTTATTGATTTTGTACAGAGAGGAAGGGAGAGAGAGATAGAGAGTTCGAAACATCGATGAGAGAGAGTCATCGATCAGCTGCCTCTTGCACACCCTCTACTGGGGATATGCCCACAACCAAGGTACATGCCCTTGACCGGAATCGAACCCGGGACCTTTCAGTCCCCAAGCCGACGCTCTATCCATTGAGCCAAACCGGTTACAATTCCATTTTAAATGAGTGCTTTGTGTTTAAATATTGGAAACCTATGAAGTATCCAAGACTGCTTCCTTTTGAAAGGAATGGAAAGCAATGCAGAATATGATGTTTATTCTCGAGGAGTCTGAATCTAGTTGGAAATCAGTAGTAAATGGACCACAGAAGTAGCGGGTTTGTGTTGTTGGAGACTACAGACGAAATATTTGATGCTAAGGTGGGGTGTATGAAGCTTGATGCACCTAGTAAATGTTCGTTGTTTTCCACATTTTTTGTGAAATTTAGGATGAGTGAGATTAATCAATTTATGCTTAGATTTCTATTGCTCCTCCAGTCTGTCCAGATTTTAATTCTCAGAGCCAAAAAGATGGAAATAATATTTGGAGTTAGGTTTTCAAGAAATGGATGAGCCTTTGGGGGATATCATCACACAGCCTTCCTATTGTCTTTAGCTTGTAAGTATTTCAACTTTTGGTATTATATTAACCTTCCAGACTAAATTATTTGAAGGCAGTTTTTTAGGTATCTGGGATGAGTTAGGATACATGGCTTGAAATGATCTTTTGTACAAGTCTTCCTAGAAAAACAAAAATTATCTTTTCACTGTTAATATTTGTATGGCTAATAACTCATCTGGTGAAAGCTACATATTTTAAAAATCTCGAGGGAAAATTTTTTTCATTAGTACAATAGTTTTTTTATTTTAAGAAAAGATACTTGTTGGAAATAGCTAATTAATAATAGTTGGTGATTTCTTTATTAGAAGGCATGATAATTTTAAAACCTTTTATATCTGAAAATGCCTGATCTGAATGAAATATTTAAAGTTAAGTAGTAAAGATCATCATAAGAGATTATTGTAATTTTTAAATATGTAGAGGTCATTGTTATGGTATCTCATCAACACTGAAGAGTGGTAGGTGTTCAAATGCAGAGAATCCAAGAGTGAACATACTGTGTTTCCCCAAAAATAAGACCTAGAACATGGAAAGATAAGACATCCCCTGAAAATAAGACCTAGCGCGTAGTTTTATGTTATTAACAAGTCAAGCTCCCCCGCCCCTCAGATGTGGTAAAGGTTTTATATCAAAGCCAAGGTAGTTGTGTGTGTGCAGTATACCTTTTCATTTTTGAGATCATAATTTGTTGATTGTCTAAAAATTTGTGGTGAGTGAGGGCAGTTTTGTGTCAGGCACAATTCTATAGTCAGTAACATGACTACATCTGTGTAACTGGACTGGCATATTTCCATCTACAGATGGGGAAAAAATATTAGTGTCATCTTGGCTTTCACATTGACTACAGTAAACAGTTTATTATATGACTTAAGCAGTGGTTTAATTTAGGTATGTGCTTTCAGTACTTACCAAACTTGTGGAGAATGTTGTTTGGTAGCCAGATATTCCCCCCCCCCCCCCTCAAAGCAGTTCTTTAACTAGGAATGCTGTTTTCCATTGCTGTACAAGTACTATAAATAAAATGTACTGTAGCCATTAGGCCTCCCTTAGTATTAACCTTTTTTACGTGAGTATATAGAAAACAAATCCCTTCTTTCTTTTTTCTTTTTTTTTTTTAATATATTTTATTGATTTTATACAGAGAGGAAAGGAGAGAGATAGTTAGAAACATTGATGAGAGAGAGTCATCAATCAGCTGCCTCTTGCACACCCCCCACTGGGGATATGCCTGCAACCAAGGTACATGCCCTTGACCAGAATCGAACCCGGGACCCTTCAGTCCTCAAGCCGACGTTCTATCCATTGAGCCAAACTGGTCCCGGCCAAATCCCTTCTTTCTAATTAGATGAGCTACAAAATATTTGAGCAAATGTAATTTATGAAATGCAGTGTGTTTTTTGCTAGTCTGTATATGTGTTTGGTTTACAACATTGGTTCATTTACAGAAAAGTAATTTGAACATTGAAAACAGTTGGCAGGGAAGCATAATACAGAATATTATGTTCATCATACTTTCGCATGCATAGTTCTCTTAATTTACATAACAGTTACTGTCCTCAATTATAGACACTAGAGGCTCAGAAAAGTAGTTATTGACTGCAGGGGCTAAATTGAGATTGCCTAGACTTAAGGATTCTAAAACCAATGCTCTAACCTTGCTTCACACACACACCCCCTCTCCCCCTTTAGATTCTTAGGTAGTGTTAGAGGCCAGACTGAATTGTGGAATCAACAGCTCTGTAAAATAAAGCATGATTGCTTGAAAGTTCCCTATTTCTGTCACTGTGTCTGGGAGGAGTAAATAATAATAATTCTTCAGTTTTGGATGTGGCTAACTGCATTCCCCCCCTCAAAAAAGATTAATGAGGTGAAAACTCCAGTTTATTTTCTGTGTATTCTTAGGTAGGGTAAATTGTGATCTGTAGAGTGAAATATTCTAATAAAGCATAACTGACATTATTGTTCATTACAACCTGTAAAATGCCTTTCTTTTCATCCTCATCACTTCCACAGTCAAAGCTGTTTGTGCCTCTGTGCTTCATGGTCTTCCAGGCATAAAGCAGTAACACAGTTAGTTTTGAGTTGACTTGATGAGGAAACAGTGAACAGTGTTATTTAGATACACAAGTTCTGCAACTCTTCCCTTGTTTTTCCCAGAATCAAGAGTTCTGTGTCTACAAAAATTGGTAATAGGGCTAAAGTGAAACTCATGCTGAGAAAGAAGGATGAGCACTTCAGGAGTCTTTGGGATAATATTTGCATCACCATTCTGGTGTTCACCCTTTTTATGACAGCAGGTATTTCCCCTATCTCATAAGTCATGTGGAATATTAGTTTAATTTAGAGAATTTAAGCTTGGAGAACCAGGAGACATTGGATTTGGGTTGAAGAAATGATTGGCAAGAGTCCTTTTGTTAAGGTACTTACAAGAGAGGAAAAGTTTTGTGTGGCAGAGGACCACCCCCCCCACCCCCCCTTTTTTTTTTTTTAGCTC